GCTCTCTTAATTTGCTTATAATATCACCCTTTATTTCTAAATCAAGTACCCATTTTGACCTCATCTTGGTATACTGCATGAGATATTGGTCTATACCTAGTTTCTGCCACCTCACACCTATCCAGTTGGCTAATATGTCAGAAAAGGAAAATGACAAATGTTGGAGGGGATGTGGAAAAATTGGGACACCAATGCACTGTTGATGGAGTTGTGAACTGAGCAATTTGGAACTATGGAGAGTAACATGGAACTATGACCAAAGGGCTATAAAACGGTGTACACCCTTTGACCCAGCAATACCACTACTAAGTCTATATCCCAAAGAGATCAAAGAAGAAGGAAAAGTACCTATCTGTACAAAAATACTGACAGCAGCTCTTCTGTGATGGCAAAGAATTGGAAATTGAAAGGATGCTCATCCACTGGGGAATGGCTGAACAAGTTGTAGTATATGATTGAGATAGAACACTATTCTGCGATAGGAAATGTTAAGTAGGATGCTTTCAGGAAATCCTGGAAAGACTTACATGAAATAAGCAACCCCAAGAAAACATTATAAGTAGTAACAGCAATATTGTATAATGATCAACTATGAATGACTTAGCTCTCCTCAGCAATACAATGACCCAAGACAATCCTGAAGGACTTATGATGAAAAATATTAGCTGCCTCCAGCGAAAGAACTGACAGTACATGAATGCAGATTGGAACACACTTTTTTAAGCTTTCTTTATTATTCTTGTTTTTTTTATCTGTTTTCTTTTGCAACATGGCTAATATGGAAATGGACTGCATGGCTACACACATATAATCTATATCAAACTTTTTGCTTTCTCAGGAAGGGGGGTGACAAGAGAGGGAGAGAATTTGGAACTCAAAATTTAAAAAAAAAAACCAAATGTTAAAATTTTTGTTTACATGTAATTGAGAAAAATCACCAATCATGTTGTGGTTACTCATCTATAGCCAGACATCCCAGAGAATGAAGTCAAGTGGCCCTTGGGAAGCATCTCTAACAATAAGATTAGTTCTAAAGGTGATAGAATTCCAGCTGAGTTATTTAAGATCCAAAAGAGATGTTATTAAAGTGCTGCACTCAATATGCCAGCAGATTTGGAAAACACAACAGTAGCTACTGAATTGGAAAAGATTAGTTGATTTTCCAATTCTAAAAATGGCAATGCCAAGGAATATTCAAATTACTAAACAAATGCTCATGTCACATAGTTATGCTTAAGATTCTGCAAGCTAGGCTTGAACGATATGAACCAAGAATTGCCAGAAGAGCAAGATGGGTTTTGAAGACGCAGAAGAAGCAGAAACCTAATTGCCAACATTCACCGAATTATGGAGAAAGCAAGGGAGTTCCAGAAAAATGTCTGCTTCTGTTTCACTGATACACTAGAGCCTTTGACTGTGTGGATCACAATGAAATGTGGCAAGTCCTCAATGAGAGGGGATGACCAGATCATCTTCTTGTCTCCTGAGGAACTTACATGTGGGTCAAGAAGCACCAGTTAGAACCGAACATGGAACAAATATCGGTATAAGATTGGACAAGGAGTGTGACAAGGCTTAATGTTGTCACCTTATCTAATTTAACTTATATGCAGAGTACATCATGCGAAAAGCCAGGCTGAATGAATCAAAAGCCAGAATTTTAAGCTTGCTGAGAGAAATGTTAATCTCAGATATGCAGATGATGCCACTCTGATGGCAGAAAGTGAAAAGGAATTAAGAAGCCTCTTGATGAGGGCGAAAGAGGAGAGTGTAAAAGCTGACTTGAAGCTTAACATCAAAAAAAGCTAAGATCTTGGCAACTGGTCCCCTCACTTTCTGGAAAACAGAAGGAGAAATAATGGAAGCAGTGTCAGATTGTATACTCTTGGGCTCAAAGATCACTGCAGACTGCAGCCATGAAATTAAAAGATGCTTGCTTTTTGGAAGAAAACTATGACAAAGCTGTATGGTGTACTAAAAAGCAGAGACATCACCTTGCCAACAAAGGTCTGCATAGTCAAAGCTATGGTTTTTCTAGTAGCAAAGTACGGCTGTGAGAATTGGACACCATGAGGAAAGCTGAGTACCACAGAATCGATGCTTTCAAACTGTGGTGCTGGAGAAGACTTTTGAGAGTCCCTTGGACAGCAAGGAGATCAAATCAGCCAATACTTAAAGAAATTGACTCAGGCTATTCACTGGAAAGGCAAATACAGAAGCTGAAGCTTAAATGTTTTGGCCACATAATTAGAAGACAAGACTCTCTGGAAAAGACCCTGACGTTGGGAAAGACTGAGGCAAAAGGAAAAGTGGATGGCAGAGGATGAGATGCATGGAGAGTATAATGAAAACGATGAACATGAACTTGGACAGACTTTGCGAGGTAATGGAGAATAAAGGGTCCTGGTGTGCTATGGCCGATGGGGTTATGAAGAGTCGGACATGACTGAAACAATAATGATTGAGAAAAAATAAAATTAAAGAAAAGAAAAAACAACATTGATTTTAGGACCTTCAGTAGATTCTGGGGAGTAGATGGATAAAATGGGAAAGATTATCTCCTCAGGTTGAACACCCCGGAACATCATGAGGAAATTCAGTGCAACCAGGCTTTACAGTAGACACCGGGCTGTGAAGCACACAAAGCCTCACCTCCTTGCTCGTCTTCCCTTCCCACTTATCTTCAGGCCATTTTGTCATTCTCCTCCTCTCTGTCCCTTCCCACCCCCGGCCCTCTTTCAAAAGGGGCTTGTTTGGATCAGGAGCCATCCTCCTCTCCATTAAGAATTCATCAGCAAGCCCTCGATTTTCCTGGATCTTTCTGCTGATCTCTGCTTTGTTAGCAGCCCCCCAACTGGCCTGGGAGTCCAGTGAAAACAAAGGACAGAAAGGACAGCTGTATCACCATCCCCACCTGTAACACTGGACAGGCCACTTGCATCTGAAAATCCAGCCATTTCTTGGAAAAAGCTGCAGTATGTCAAGGTTTCATTGCTAATTCTTCAAGTGGCTTCAATCTCGAAACAGTACAGAGCACAGGGGATAGAGCTAGCCTCAGGAGGAAGCCCTGAGTTCAGTCCCCTGACACATATATACCACGTGATCCTGGAAAAGTCACATAACTTCTCAGTGCCCCAAACAACTCTTCAAGACTGTGAATTGTAGAGAACTCTCTGATCTGCACCAGTAAATGAGTTTCCTTCTCCGGGAGTCCCTATCCTAACAGAAATCACACATCCAGTCCCTATTCCTACATTATAATAATAATAATAACTAACATGGATATAATGCTTTAAGGGTTGTAGAATGCCTTACATATATCATCTCGTTTGATAAAACTATACTTACATAAACACACACAGGTACATATGTGTGTACTTATACATATACACACTATAATTATCACCCAAGATGAGAAGACATGCTTCACTGGGGGAGTGCCCATATTATTGGCATCATGGATCTGCCGAGGTATCAAATACAATAGGTATATACGCATGCATGCACATATATGATATGTATAGAAAATATAGTGCTAGTTTGCATTGATAGTGGGTATTTTTTCACTGGGAGGTCCCTACTCTAATACAACTCTGAACCATGTAACACACTCACGTTCACTCAGAGACACATACATATAATGCAACTTAAACTCTTAGAGAGTTACTTGAGGCACTGAAAGGTTAAATGACATGACCAGAGTCATACAGCCAGGATGTGTCAGAGTGGAAGTTGAGTACAGATCTTTCAAGGGCAGCCAGGTGGGGCAGTGAATAGAGCATAAACCTGGAGTCAGGAAGACCCAAGTTCAAATCTGGCTTCAGACACTTACGTATATGACCTTGGACAAGTCACTACACCTCTGTCTGCCTTGGTTTCCTCATCTGTAAAATGAGGCTAATAACAACCCCTACCTTCTAGGATTATTAGAAGAATAAAAATGAGTTAATATTTGTAAAGTACTTTGAAACTCTAAAGTACTATTGACATGCTAGTTATTGTTATTATTCTCAATTCCTCTACCCACTACATATTGCTGCTTCATAATATATAGGTTTTTTAAACCACACATATCAATCCATTAAAGCACATATATTATTTTCCGTTGTATATACATCTCTTTTTTGTACTAATAATTGCCATCGATGAAACAAACAAACAAAAAATCCAAGTGTGATGAGGTTATTTAAGGATAGGACCACATTCAGCAACCGGAAGTCTGGCAATCACTCTTGCCTGAATTGTGGACTAAATTCCACACCATTTCACCTGGCCACACCCTGCTCTCTCAGGGAGAATCACAGACCTCAACAATAATTGCTAAAAGATGCTCAAAGGGGAGCGATTCCAAAGAACGCCCTGTAGCCTCATGCCTCATATTAAACTTCAGACTTGTGAAACAAATTTAACTAATGCCAGCCACTTGCCACCCTCCACTGCCAAATCTGATCCCTGTACTTCCCTGGTACCAGTTTTGATAACTCCAATCAAACAAGATCTCTCCCACTGGATCTCCTGTAACCTCAGGGATTTAGGTAAATTGAGAATAAATAAATGCAAAAGGTCTTTTGATTTCTTTGAGATATGAATCTCTTCATCATCACTTCAGTCATAGACCTTCACTGTGGCCTTGGCCTCCTTCTTCTGACCCTCAGAAGGAACAGGGAAGCCCTTGTAAGAAGGTCTCTAGATGCCTCCCTGAATTCCCAAGCCTTTTCCAGGCAGTGGGTAGAATGTCCCTCATGTATGCAGCGTCAGCTTGTAAATGGCGTTGTCAGGCCTGCCCACCAGGTCAGCTCAGCTGGGACAAGCCTGCCCCCCAGCACACATTTGTTTTGGAATTGGTTGGCGAAATGAGAAAAAAAAAGTAGAAAACTGAATATACACTTCCAAAATGGAACCTGCTCCCAAGAGGCGAGGAGAGAAAAGCCGAGGAAAAGCCTTTCTCCCGGATGCCTGCCACACTTTGCCCCTGAACAGATCACAGTATTATCACTTACCCTCTTCACAGTTACTTCCAGCAAACCCAGGGCAGCATTTCCACTCCAGAGCCGTCACAGTCCGGTAAGACACTTTGTAGGTAGGTCTGATCAGGGTCCTGTAACTAACACAAAAGAGCAGTCAGCAGAGGGCAGGCCTGCATCCCCATCCTGACCTCATTTCTAGCCACACAAAAGAGCCATCATTGAGGGTGCACAGCAATGCTTTTCCTGATAAAAGCCATCTTGTCTAGGGCTGAGGCCTTTGTCTTCCCTGACATCCACCTAAAGGGAAGCCTGAGCCTTCTCCTCCTTGAGATCCTATTGTGGCTCCATCACACATACATACATACATACATACATATGTTTGCCCGTCCTTCTGGGCCTAATTTTCAGTCTGTACCAAATGAACACTGATTCTAGACTCAGAGAACTTGGGTTCAAATTCCACTTTGATATCTTCTTGCGTAACTCTGAATAAGTCACTAAACATCCTTGGCCTCAGTTTTCTCCTCTGTAAAATACAGAGACTGACCTAGATGGCCTCTGGGGACCCTTGTAGTCTAAATCTGACCTTATGGTACCTCCTGGTTACCTCCCATATGTTCATTCCCCATTGTGTACCCTCCCAGCCAGCCCCACTGCACTCACCACTCTTCGCTCCCCAATCTTCATCCTATAGTTAACCATTTCACCCTACTCTCTCCTCAGGACCTGAGTCCCTTTGCTCAAACCAGTGCTCAAACTCTGCCCAACCCCTAGATCACTCCCACCATCTGCTTCTTCTATTGCTACATACTGAACAAAGCTGGAGAAAATCAAACGATCAAGCACATGGAGCCCCTACAAATCAATGTCATCTAAATCCAACTGGGCCTTCACCTCAGCAGGGCAATATCTGTATTCCCTATGGCACTCCCCACAGCGGCTGCCCCAAGCCTTGCCTTCTCTCCTTAAGCCTCCACCACAGCCCCTTCCCCAGCCCTCTCAGCTGAGGGCCTCATTTCACACTTTCCTGAGAAAAATAGACCATTCCCTAGGAGTTCCCTCTTCTTACTCCCCTTCTCTACATCTCAAAACCCCTTGATATCATCTCCCATTCTTTACTCCTTTACTCCAGTCTCCAGTAAAGAGATGACCCTCCAGACTCATCATGTGGGGCAGGGGGAAAAGCATTTATTAAGCGCCGACTATGTGCTGGGCTCTGTGCAAAGCGCTTCACAAATCGAATCTCATTTGATGAATCACCTCCAGGTGATTACGTGCCCAGCCATCGCTCCTATCCAATGGTCGTTTTCTTGTTGTCTACTGGTTCCTGCCTGGATGCTTTCAAACACACATGCAAGGCTTCCCCATCCTGGAAAGACAATCCCTAGAGCCCTTCCAGCCCCTGGAACCGTCATCACCACCACCATCATCTTCTCCTTTTGTAGTCAAACTCCTAGGAAAAGCTGTCTGTACACGTTGGTCCACCTCTTAGCTCACTATATGCCAAGCACTATGCTAAGCACTGGGGAGAAATGGAAAGGGCCCTGCAGACCCTACCTCAGAATAAGATTTTTAAATAAAGTAAAAACAGAGAGGATTAACAAGTTATCAAAATATGCAGCTATCAAAGTATAGTTTTTAAATCAAGTCAATGAGCTCCAGGTTAGGAACTCCTGAATAAGATGTCCTTTAGAGCCCTTTCCAGTTCTAGGACACTCTCTCTCTCCTCTCTGTCTGTCTGTCTCTGTCTCTCTCTCTCTGTCTCTCTGTCTCTCTCTCTGTCTGTCTCTCTCTGTCTCTGTCTCTGTCTCTGTCTCTCTGTCTCTCTGTCTCTGTCTGTCTCTCCCTGTCTCTCTGTCTGTCTCTGTCTCTGTCTCTCTCCTCTCTGTCTGTCTCTGTCTCTCTCTCTGTCTGTCTGTCTCTCTCTCCTCTCTGTCTGTCTCTCTCTTCTCTCTGTCTCTGTCTCTCTCTGTCTGTCTCTGTCTGTCTTGTCTCTGTCTGTCTCTCTCTCCTCTCTGTCTGTCTCTGTCTCTGTCTCTCTCCTGTCTGTCTGTCTCTGTCTCTGTCTCTCTCTCTCTGTCTGTCTGTCTCTCTCTCTCCTCTCTGTCTGTCTCTCTTCTCTCTGTCTCTGTCTCTCTCTGTCTGTCTCTGTCTGTCTCTCTCTCCTCTCTGTCTGTCTCTGTCTCTGTCTCTCTCCTGTCTGTCTCTGTCTCTGTCTGTCTCTGTCTCTCTCTCTCTCCCCTTTCTCTCTGTCTCTGTCTCTGTCTGTCTGTCTCTGTCTGTCTTGTCTCTGTCTGTCTCTCTCTCCTCTCTGTCTGTCTCTGTCTCTGTCTCCTGTCTGTCTCTCTCTGTCTCTCCCCCTTCTCTCTGTCTCTGTCTCTGTCTGTCTGTCTCTGTCTGTCTGTCTCTCTCTTCTCTCTGTCTCTCATACATAACTTATGATTTCATTTGGGGTGGGCAACCTGGGGCTTTGAGACCACATGTGGCCCTCTAGGTCCTCAAGTGTGGCACTTTGACTGAGTCCAAGTTTTTACAGAACAAATTCTTTTATTAAGGGGATTTGTTTTGTGAAGTTTGGGTTTAGTCAGAGGGCTGAACCTGAGGACTTAGAGGCTGCATGTGGCCTCGAGGCCGCAGGCTCCCCACCCCTGGATAAGAACTTCTATGGGAAGGAAACTACCTGAGAAAGATCTCACCAATAGAGATCATCCCTTGCTCTGAGGCCCATCGAATCCTGGGGCACTGCCTGGGGCACAGGGATTGGGGAGGGGGGTAGCTGTTAAATGACTTGTTCAGGATCCTAGTAGGGTGCATCTCAAAGCGAGGTGGCATACAAATTCAGGTCTTCCTAATTCTACCCCCTACACATCACACTGCCTCGACCTACAAAATAATAAGAGCTCATTTTCTATAAGACTTTTATAAACTATAAAACACTTTTCTTACCCTGGAACACAGATGGTGCTAATATCATTCTTACTATTTTGTAGATGACAAATTGAAGCTCAGTTTGGTTAAATGACTTGCCCACCACAGTCACAAAGCTAATTAAGTCACAGACCTGAACCAAGGCTTTCCGACTCCCAAGTGTGCTGCTCTTTTGACTATAACCACAGGCAGCTGGTGGCGTCACAGTGCAGAGAGCGCTGGGCCTGGAGTCAGGAACACCTGAGTTCAAATCTGACCTCAGAAACTTACTAGCTGTGTGACCCTGGGGCAAGTCACGCAACCGTTTGCTTTAGTTTCCTTAACTGTAAAACGGAGCTAATAAAAACACCTATCTCAGGACTTGTTGTGAAAATCAAATAAGATTTTTAAAAAAACTGGAGCAGCTAGGTGGCCCAGTGGATAGAGCACCAGCCTTGGAATCAGGAGGATCTCAGTTCAAATCTGGTCTCAGATACATAACACTCACTAGCTGTGTGACCTTGCCTAAAATAAAAAAAATTAAAAATTTAAAAATTTAAAAAAAATAAAAAAGCAAACTTTGCACACTTCTGATTCATGAGCAGCCCCCTCACCCCCGCCTCCCAAAGTTTCCCCACTGAGGAGTTTCAGTGGGTGTTTTTAGGACACCTGCTAAAACCTGAAGGGATTTGTATGTGAATCCACACATTTGTTGGGAGACCTGAGGTACGTAGAGGTGACACCGACAACCTGAGCTCCTCATTTCCCATCCAGAAAGAATGCAGATCTCCATGGGAGGCTAAAGGAAAGGGTCAGAAACAAAAAGGCAGCAGCAAACATCAGGTTCTGTTCTTTGAATGGCAATGAACAGAAACTAAGCCCGTGGCCTTTTTCTTCAGACAGAGACACTAATAACAGTAACAACAACAACAACAACAATAATAAAAATAATAAAACATGTTGTAGCACTTGGAGGTTTGCAAACTATGGCACATTGAACAGAATTGCTGGCCAGGAGTCAGGAACCCTTGGATTTCAATTCTACCTCAGACATCAGCTGTGTGACCTTGGGCAAAGCTCTTAACTTCTCTGAGCCTCAGTTTCCTCATTTGTCAGATGAAGGGGCGCCGGACCAGAAAGTCCCCAAGGTCTCTTTCCTCTCTAATACTACGCCACGTCTTTGATCACATCCGGTCCTCTCCCAACAACCCCGTGCAGCAGACACTCTAGCCTTGTTATTCCCATTTTATAGATGAGGAAATGGAGACTCATCAAGGTGGCTGAGACCGTCAAGCTAACAGACATCTGGAACTTCTGTCCACAACTCCAGAGCTACCCTTTCTGATCAGGGTCTGATCAGAAAGTATCCAAAGCAATACAAATATATTTTATCTTGAGAAATTAAAATTCTTCCTATAATCTGAAGGCTTGCCCTCTGCTTCTATCCTAAGACTCACCAGCACATTGTTGTAGGCCAGTAGTGTCAAACTCAAATAAAAATGGATCCCTGCTGGCTGCATACTGATTTAGAAAACTACACGCTAACATTGTCTGTGTTGTATCACATTTTTACTTATTTGGTTAACAGTTCCCAAATGCATTTTATTCTGGTTGCCGTGGCCCTGAAGAGTTTTACCAGCTACACAGGCAGGCCCCGTTGGATACCATGCTGTGGGCCACTGGTCAGGGCAGAGGGATGAGAGGGGACTGAGAGCTCAACAACAGTCGTGGTGCTGCCACGCTTAGCTACATAGATGATGGGTGCGCCCTTTTCACCCAGAGAGCCAGTACAGTAGGAGTGGGAAGGAGGAAGTTCATGAAATCCATCTTTAAAAAATCATGCATCTTTTTATTCAAAACAGGAACCGTTAGTTCTATTATTTGTGATCACCTATAACTTAACAATATCTGGAAACACCAGCAGGTGGAGCTGCTTCATCAGCTTCCTTGATAACCTCAAACTAGTCCAGACCCATCGCTAGGTCCATTCAATCTCAGGTCCACCCACACCACCCCTTACACCGTTTTTTTGGTTCGTACTTTAGATCTCTGCCGCTTGACCCAAGATCCTAATGGGAGGGATGTTTTGTGTCCAGCTCCTCTGGATGGGGCAGACATCTAAGACAGCTCTGGGGAACCCCAGGCTTTCTTGTGGACCAATGTAGATTCCAACCCTACCCAAATGCTAAAAGGCCACTTTGTGAAGACCAGCCTGTTCCGTGTGCTTAGA